GACGCTGAATTTCCATCTATATCCTCAACCTTAAATTTAGTCTCAGAGGAAGAAGTTTGATGCTACAGGTTTAGTAATATTAATATGCATAGTGTTTATCGCCATTAAAACAGCATCACTTTTTTTGCGGGGGGGATCACAAAAATATTAAGAGACTTTCGCTTTTAGGAAGATAGAGCTGACCTGTTTTCCCCTATTCCTCCTGCTAAGTACAACTGAACCCCCTGGACATTATATGTAAAACAGCAGAAGATGACATTGAAGGTGGAGAGAAGCCAAATTATAACAGCTAGGGCCCTCAGGACCCAAGAACAACATGGCAGTGAGTTCTATGGCAGGGTTTCCTGATTTTGCCTCATATATCCCCGACTGGGAGCTGAAGAATCTGGAACCCAGAAACACCAAAAAGTACAAACAAAAACGCTTCAGTGAAAGGGTAGCTGTAAGTGCCTCTAGCCTTCATCCTATGCTTTCCAACTTGCATCCTTACCCATTCTCTGATCCCCACCCTTCCTCCTGCATTAAAATTATTTACTTAAAAATTCCAACTGGCCTCCATCATGCCATCATCTCAAATTTCATCCCGCTAGTATGTTTCTGTAGCGTAGGAACTTACCACTCACTTTGACCTAGTAATTTTACCTCTGGGAAACAAGAGAAATTTTTTAAGCCCCCCCTTCGGTTCTGATTCTGGGCCTTAAGATTTCTCAGTGTTCTTTCACATGTATTGCACATTCTTTAGATCAGTCCAGTGAGTCCTGGGCAATACTAAGTTCTCTTATAATCTGGCATATCGGATCCAGTATTTCTTGCTTCCTGCAAACCCTCTGGCCCTGCGGGAAGTGTTAGCGTAGGCAGGAAAGCGAGACAGGAGCAGAGGAGGTAGGGAACGGAAGGGACAGTGTAAACAAACAGGATACTCAGTAAGAAAACACACTGCAAGATAAGGGGAGCTCTAAGTGTCACAAATGTTAGCATAACAAAGGTGAGACACAGGCAGAGAAAAGGCAAAAGCAAGCCACTTAAATGGGATGCTGAGTAAGAGAACACACTCTAACAATAACAAGATAAGGGTAACCACAACTATCACAAGAAACATAACAGAAACAACACAGGGCACATTATACATTACATTTTGCCCCCGTCCCCCATGGGCTTTGAACATCCACAACACATCCCGCCTAACCATGTACGGTGGAACACTCCCACCCAACAGCAGGAAGGAGACAACATCCTCACTGGTCAAGAAAAAAAGGAGAAGAGACGATGTCTTGAAGGAGGATAGGTCAGACAAAAGGAAAAGGTATGACACAGAGACCCCAGGGCCACTGTCTGCTGTGACATGTGCCTGCTCCTGTTCCTTCTGGAGGGGACTAGCCCTTGCTGATTACGACACAGGAACCCCAGGGCCAGTCTGCTCAGACGTGTGCCTTCTCCTAACCCCTTTAAGAGTAAACTTTCACTTTAATAAACTTTGCTGCTTGCTGCTTCAAAACCGCCTCTTGCTTTCATTCTTCGACTGCAAGAAGACAAGAACCAAGAAGTTCAACAGTTGGGAACAGAAGCAGCCTATGGAATAGCCCTTTCCTGCATAAGGACTTTTTTTTTTTTTCCTTTTATTTCAGCATATTATGGGGGTACAGATGTTTAGGTTATGTATGTTGCCCTTGGTCCCCCCCTCCAAATCCGAGTTTCAAATATGTCCATCCTTCGGGTGGTGTGCATTGCACTCCTTGTGTATACAAATACCCGTCCCCTCCTCCCTCCTCCCCCCT